TTGACCCAAGAGTGCTTAACCACTGAGACACATCCCTATATACCCTTTTTTATTTGAGACAGGGTCTCACTAAGTTGCTTACGGCCTCACTAAATTGCTGAGGCTGGCTTTGAACTTGTGATCCTTCTGCCTCAGTCTCCCGAGCCACTGGGATTACAGGCATATGCCATCTGTCTGGTTTGGTTTAATCCTTCTAAAGGTCAATTTAACAATATGTATCAAAGATAAAAAAAAAAATTTCAGTTTCAGGAATTTATTCAAAGGAAATCATCAGAGATGTGGACAAATATTTAGCTATCAAGATGGTCTACCATAGTATTATATATAACAGCAAACTGTGACTGTTACCCTGAAATCTTCAACATTTAACAATAGGTTGAATAAATCATAATACACCCAACAGAATAAAATGCTATATAATAATTAAAACTAAAGGCACTGAAGAATTTTAATGACATGATAAAAATTAAATTACAATGTAAATATATAGAGTATTATTTATTTATTTATTTACTCATTCATTCTGTAGTGGGCACCATCTTTATTTTATTTATTTATTTTTTATATGGTGCTAAGAATTGAACCCAGAGCCTCACACATGCTAGGCAAGTGCTTTGCCACTGAGCCACAATCCTAGCCTTATCTAAATGATTTTTTTAAAAGATAAGGTGTAGGGGAGCTGGGGGCATAGCTGAGTTGTAATGAGTGTGTTCAGCATACACAAGGACTGGGTTCAATCTCCAACACCAAGAAATAAATAAATAATGATAAAGTATACATAAACACCCTATACACAAAGAAAGAAGACTCAGTGGACATAGACCAATGAGTTACTATAACCATCTCTGGATAGCTTATAAAATTTATCTAATTTACCATCTTTTTTTTTTTTTAAGTTGTAGATGGACACAATACCTTTATTTATTTATTTTTATGCAGTGCTGAGGATCAAACCCAGTGCCTCACTAGGCAAGCACTTTACCACTGAGCCACAACCCCAGCCCCTAATTCATCATCTTAACCATTTTGAACAGTACAGTTCAGTGACATTAAGTATTTTCTCAAGGTCGTGTAACCATCACCACTATTTCTAAAATTTTATCATCATCATCATCCTCTCTAAATGAGACAGATACCCATTAAACAAGGAACTCTCTACTCCCTCCTCCCCCAAATCTCTGATAACCATTATTCTATCTTCTGTTTCTATAAATTTGACTATTCTAAGTACCTTATATAAGGAGAAATTATGCAATATTTGTCCTTTGGAATATAAAATTTTATTTAATGTTTTCAAGGTTCATCCATGGATGATTCTTGTTTATCTGTTGTAGTCCCCTAATTTTTTTTTCTTTTTCAAATTTTTTTTAGTTGTTATAGACCTTTATTTATGCCAAGTGTAGGTGGCTCATGCCTGTAATCCCAGCTTAGAAGGATGAGGCAGGAGGATCACAAGTTCAAGGCCAGCCTCAGCAACTTCCTAAGATCCTATTTTAAAATAAAAAATAGAAAGGCTGCAGATATAGCTCAGGGATAGAGAGCCCCTGGGTTCAACCCCCAGTACCACATATACACTCAAAAAAAGTAACCAAATTATTGGCCTTATCTACTGGGTTCCAAATTATGCCCTTTTGTTGTTGTCGTTAAAGATGATTTACAGGCACTACAGAAAACTCAACTAATAGATTTCACATAAAAGACATAAACAGAAAAAAAATACGCACAAAACAGTGAAATACTAGATGGTCTCTAATGGGAAGAGAGCCCTACAGGCTCCAATTAAGCACCAAGATTAATCACCTCTCTCTCTGGATACCAAAGTGCTTTTATATGTTTTGTAACAGGGCATATGGTTTTCAAGGTTCAGCTTATTTACTAAATTTAGTACTTAGTGTTCTTCAGAGAGCTAGATGGTGTACGTATGTGTATGACATGAGTTCCACAGAGGTGTTTATAATCTGATTTGGGGAAGCAAGGCATCATACTTAATTGTTATGCCATTAATTCACAGGAAGATATCAGCAGACTTAAGAATGTGGATACATACCACTAAATGCAGAGGATACCACATACACATAATACACATAAGTACCCATGCCTTTTTTTTTTTTTTAAGAGAGAGAATTTTTTTTTAATATTTATTTTTTAGTTTTTGGTGGACACAACATCTTTATTTTTTTATTTTTATGTGGTGCTGAGGATCGAACCCAGCACCGTGCGCATGCCAGGCAAGCATGCTACTGCTTGAGCCATATCCCCAGCACCATCCCATGCCTTTTTTACCTGAGTGGTTAAAATATCACTCTGCGAAGACACCCCTGAGCAATCTTCAGAGAGGATTGTTTCACTTTCATAGCCAGATGCTGCTTCACCTTAAACGATAATAAAAACAGGTTCAGATGTAGGAAGACTATAAAAATTGCAACTTGCTTTAACTGTTTCTTCCCATTGGCAGGACTGGTTTCATCTTCATGTTACACAAAATGATTAACCTCCTTGCTACCAGGATTTCCTCTTACAACTTTTTAACAATAAAAATTGGAAGCAAGTCCACCAACAAATAGGATATTTAAAAGCTCATTCAATCAGGGAAGATGTGATAGCTGGGTGAAGGACTTCTGACTTAAGGAAAAGAATCTTAGAAGAAACATGTTTCAAGTTTAAGTAACTGTACTTGGAAATTCATAAAATGTGCTCCCCAAAAGGCATAAACATTTAGCTCATTTTATAAAACAGGCAGAGGCAAACACAAAAATCTGGTTCTAATACCTAAGTCTGAATCCACACTCTGCTCTTCTTGGTGATTATCTTCTTCTAGGCCAGTTTCCCTTTCTTCATCATTTGAAACCAATTTGTTGTCACTCAGCACAACTTCCTGGTTTTCAGACTGATGTTTCATTTGTTTGGAAGGAGGATCAAACATCAAGAAGGGGTCCTGGGAGTTTGTATTTGTTGTCAAGTCTTCTAATACACTGCACTGGGAAGAAAACAAGCTACCAGAGTTTTTCGCTTCCTCACTAAAGTCATGTTCCTGGGAGGCCTTTTCGAGTATCACCTCATTATTGCAGTCATTTACACCAGTCCTAAATGATACCAGGTTCTCCTCTGTTTTCTTAGACAGACAGTCTGTCACAATAGTGCTGTGTTTGGTAGACTGAGGTGTTTTGGTTACTTTACCAAATAGTAAGTGTTGGAAGGAGGGAAGTTCTTCATCCTCACTACAGGTGTTCTCTTCTGAGGACTCTAATTTCCTGGCCCCCTTTTGGTGACTCTGAGCCAAAGATGTATGGGCTAAAGGGCTTGGGCTCCTGCTAAATTCTCCCCTCTGGACATTCTTACTAAAAACAGCAGATTTTTCCTTAATGCCACCTTCAGTAAAGCTGGTATTTTCCTTTATTTCATCATCATCATCATCTAACAGGTCATCTGGAGTCTCAGAACAAACCTGAGTGACAGGACTAATTCTCATAGGTTGTTCTAAATTATCTGAAATTAGACATGGAGAGAAATCTGTATTAACAACTTGAATCACTTCATCATCTCCTCGTCTTTTTATTTCAGGGTATTTACAATTAATAAGAGAAAGATTTTGTTTATAGGCTTCAGGTTGCATAAGACCTAATCTAAGCACAGCATTTAATTTGGGTCCTCTGTTTCTACCTAGTTCTGTTTGAATGTTTTCACCACTGGAACCTACTTCATTAATACTGGAGCCTACTTCATTAGTACTAGCGCCTACTTCATTAATACTGCCTGAGTTGGCTTCTTTAAAAGCACTTTCTCTAATGTTATTTTGGCTAATTGTGCTCACTGTACTTTGAATGATTCTCTTATATCCCACTATTTTTTCAGGTGACCCTGAATGTTTCTCAAACTTTTCCCCTAATAGGGTACTTTCTGTAGATCTTTCAGTTTGCAAACCCCTTTCTCCACTTAGCACATCTTTGGGGTCTTTGGTATTATTAGACCTTTGAATTATTTCTATTTTCTTACATTTAGTGTTAACAGATGACCTGATGGGAGAAACTGATGGCATATGATATGGGTTTTGTAAAATTCCATGTTTATATGCAGTAATAAGTTTAGTTTCACTGCCTCTGAACAGAAATGAAGGACAAATTCTAGAGACTTCTGTAATATTACATTTGGCATCATCACCTGGCTTATTTTTCTGACAAACCACAGGGAAGCCCATAGTGGCATTAATTGCCTGGACATTCGGAATTTTAGACTCTTTATTTCCCCAATTTTTGTCTTTTTGCTCACATTCAAGATTGACTTCTGTGCTTTGTTTCTGTAAGGTCTGAGAGGGAACATAGACAGCTGCACATTCCTTTTCTTGATTTCCTGGATTTGAAAACAGAGCAAATGACTGACGCTTTGAAACTTGGAATGTATTCTCTAAATACTGAGTATCAAGTTCACTTTCTTCCATTTCTACATTTATCTCCTGAATGTGGTTAACATCGTGTCTCAATGAATTCTTGAAACCCCCTGTGTCATTTCTAGTATCTTTAGGATGACCATGGATAAATTCCTTGGGGTTTTCGATTGCCACATACTGAGTAACATGTTGATTTGATGTTGTTCTTGCTTTTCCAAAAGTGTTAGCTTCCAGTAATGAGATACTGTCCTGAGTGCCATAATCAGTATCAGGTACCAATGAAATACTGGTACTTTCTGCAGATCTTTCAGTTTGCAAACCCCTTTCTCCACTTAGCACATCTTTGGGGTCTTTGGTATTATTAGACCTTTGAATTATTTCTATGTTCTCTTCTGTTCCTTCTTTCTGAAGGTTAGGATCAACAAATTCTTTAACTTTACTAGAACTTGAGCAGTTAGTAAAAAGACCAGATATGCCTGTTAACTTTGATCCTGGGAAAACATCATTGGTATCTCTCTTAATTATTTGTTCATTTGGCTGGTTCCTCTTCTTGACTTCAATTGCAGGTTCTGCATCTTCCATGAGTTGAAGCTTTTTGCCATGCCTGACTGGCATTTGGTTGGAATTTCCTGTCTTTATTTCTTCACTGCTAGTAAAACTATCAATTTGTAATTCAATGTGATGAGGTGGACTTGTATTTCTATTTACTGCTAGTTCAAGCGCATGAATATGCTTAGTAGAGGACTTCCTCCTCAGCCTATTTTTCGTAGGTGCTTTTGAATTGTGGATATTTAATTCTAGTTCCATATTGCTTATACTGCTGCTTATAGGTTCAGCTTTAGTTCTGAAAGCAGACTCTTTTTCCAATGATTCTATTGTGTTAGCATTTTTCTCTTTCTGAACATAATCAACTTTTGTTTCATTCTCTTGGTCACTATTAGTAATATTCATTACTTGATCATTCTGTTCCATTTGGTCAGTTCCCTGATTTATTTTTTCAGGAGTCTTTTGAACAACTGCCAAATCTGCTTTCTTGATAAAATCCTCAGGATGAAGGCATGATGTAGTTCTCCTTTTACGCTTTAATTTATTTGTGAGGGTACACTCTTGTGTTATTTGTGGTTCTGCGGCAAATGCTCCTATAATTAGATTTTCAGTTACATGGCTCAAGTTAGGGAGGCTCGCCTTCCTCCGATAGGTTTTCCCAAATATTTTATCTTCAATATTACTCTCAACTGCTTTGGAGCAGATTCTTTCACGTTTAAAAATTAAAGCATTATGCGGGTCAGTGGCCAACAAGTCTATTTTCTCTGAAGAACCAGAAAATCCATCTACTTCATTTGGAATTTCTAATACACCAGCTACTTTAGCATTTGACTCAGAACCCCCATCATGTGAGTCATCAGAAGTTAACATTTCGTCACTTCTGGAAAACCACTCATTAACTTTCCGAATGCTGCTATTTCGTGTTATCCAAGGAACATCTTGGGTATCTCTAGAATTCTCAGAGCATGGAGGTTTCTGCTTACTTGGTTCTTTTTTCTCATATAGGGGATCAACATTCAGATCTACCTTTTTCCCTGTGCTGAGAGTTTGCCTATCGTTACAGGTTTCCTTACTTTTAGCCCATCTGCTCTGTTGGCTCCTTGCTAAGCCAGGCTGTTTGCTTTTATTACAGAATTCAGCCTTTTCTACATTCATTCTGTCTTTAGTGAGTAATAAACTGCTGTTCTCATGCTGTAATGAGCTGGCACGAGTATTTGTGCCACATGGCTCCACATGCAAGTTTGAAACAGAAATACCCTGATACTTTTCTGGATGCCTCTCAGTTGCATGCTTCTCAATGATGTTCAAATCTTTATTACTGGATTGATGATGTTCAATATTTGCTATGTCCTTCTCAGAAAACTCACAAGCAGCTGAAAATATATAAAAATAACAAGATGTTTAAAAACTGAATTATCATAAATAAATACATAATTAATACAACTTGGGAGTGGAAATCAAGCAACTAGTTTTAGAGAAACTAATATCATAAACTACCAAATATACTGAAGATGTAACTCATGCTCTTTCAAATAATTTCTATTTGCCTAAATTCTCATTATTCCCCTCAAGCCAATCAAAAAATCAATTTCAGAATGTTCCCTATGCATAAACCACATCTCCTATCCCCCAACTTCTAACAGTGAATTAAATGCAGTCTGTTTGGTCATCAGACACACAGTATTCTATTCTATCTACACACTCATATTCCATACACTTAGAAGGAAGTTGGAAAAAACTGAAATACAAATATGTCAATTAAAAGTAAAAGGCAGGGCTGGGGTTGTGGCTCAGTGGTAGAGTCCTCGCCTAGCATGCATGATGCCTGGGTTCTCTATCTACAGTTCTCTATCTTCAGTGTCTATTAAGTTGGGAAGACTTGCCATTACCCTTATTTGCAGAATCCACACTGGTTTCAGCCCTGGCTCCTTGAGTGGTGGTTTGCAACAATTCCTGGTCTCTCACACTATAAGGAAAACACAGAAGCCTTAATTAGAATCATTAGTTATATGTTCATAGAACTGTCAAATGAGCAAGATCAAATATTTTAACTCCTCTAGGTAGGGCTGTAGTTGCTGACCAATTTGACTCATTTTGTGATTCCTGGTCTTTCCTTTAAGTAACCTCTAATCAAAATGAAATGGTTAGACTGAGAATATCCAGTCACAAAATTCTGTCTGCAAGACAGAACATTGCTTTATAAAGATGCAAACGAGAGCCACAATTTACATGACTGCTAAAAGATAGTTTTTAAAAAATGCTTAGTTGGGCATGGTGGCCCACACCTGTAAGCCCAGAGGCTCAGGAGGCTGAGGCAGGAGGATCACAAGTTCAAAGCCAGCCTCAGCAATGCAGTGAAGCCCTAAGCAATGTAGTGAGACTCCACCTTATGTAGCTCAGTAGTAAAGTGGTTAAGGACTGCTGGGTTCAATCCTTAGTAACCATCTCTCCACCCCCACCCCCACCACATACACACACACACACAAAAAAAAAAAAAAAAAAAGAAAGAAAAAAAAGTAGAAAGGACTGATTGGGTTACAGCTCAGTGGTTAAGCACCTCTGGGTTCAACCCCAGTTCCCTAAAATAAAAGAATATCTTAGCTGGGCACAGTGACACATGCCTATAATCTCAGAGACTTGGAAAGCTGAGGCAAGAGGACTACAAATTCAAGACCGGCCTTAGCAATTTAATAAGACTGTCTCAAAACTAAAAGTAAAAAAGCACTGGAGGTGTAGCTCAGTGGTACAGAGCCTCTGTTTCAATCCTCTGTATTGAAAGAAAAAAAAAGGGACAAAAAAAACCCTCTTTTTACAGGGGATTGAACCCAGGCACTTAATCACTGAGCCACATCCTTAGTCCTTTTATTTTGAGACAGGGTCTCACTAAGTTGCTTAGGGCCTTGCTAAATTGCTGAGGCTAGCCTTGAATTTGCAATCCTCCTGCCTCAGCCTCCTGAGACACTGGGATTACAGACATGTGCTACCACACCCAGCTAAAAAAGTGTATATTAATGAGAAGGTAGGAGCAAAAAACAACAAAGGAAGCACTAGAAGAGCAGGCATTCCATTGAAATGCAAAAGCTACTAGTTTGCTTCATTGCTTTCTTTGATTCTTTTCTGGCCAACAATAATGTCCTTCTAATTTCAAGATTAGGAAAAAGTAATTTTTAAACAAAAACTGATTGCTAATGACATCACCATAATTCAGATCAGTTATCTTAATCAGAGTCAAGCAATAATTCTTAAGGAAAGCATTCTTGCAGGTAACCCAACTGGGGGTCCCTTGTAGATTATTATGTTACTTATATTGATAAAGTTTGGGAATAGGTGAAATGAAAGAACTGAGGAAAGAAAGAAAACTACAAATAAAATCCTCTAATAATTCCATTAGCAATTATCACTGGGTCAATACTACATATGAGAAAATCAGCTAGAAAATAACCATCTGCTAAAAGCAAGTTTCTATAGAGTTTCAATGTTATCTTAAGGTCCTTTGGACACTACTCATAAATAAATTAAACAAACAAAAACAGTATTTCCTCAGATATAAAATGAGGGGATAAGATGATCTCTAAAGTTTCTTCCAAGGACTTTATTCAAATCTAGGAAAATACTAATCCTAAATGTTAAATATGAAAAAAAAAACAAAACAGTTTCAGAGACAAAGGCTCTTTTTGACTCACCTGCAATAATTTGCCTTATTAACTGTATCTTCAGAAGAATCAGATCCTAAAAATATCCATCAAAAACCCCCCAGAACAAATCAGTCAGTTTTTGTTTATTAAAAGGATTAAATTTGAAAAATGTACTTGTTGCGTAGATATTCATTCACTTAGAAACATTTACTGAACGTCTACATTACATGGCAAGCAAGACAGATTAGTCATGCAACACAGAGAAGTAGAAAGTACAGGCTCTGAAGCGTATTTCTGAAGCTTATTTAAAAAATGGATCTGCCACTTACTAGCTTTACTAACTTAGCAATATTTAACTTCTGTGACTAATTTCTTCATCTGTAAAATAAGTATACATATTTACAATCTCAGAAGTTTGACATGCAATTTTAAATGAGTTATAAAAGAAAAACCAACAGTGCCAGGGATACAAGTAAGTGGTCCTAAATATTAAATACTGTAATTATTTTTGAGACATATACCTATTGCTCATGAATTTATTATCTTATGGGTAGGAGACATATGGGTAATTTCAGTGAAATCCAATAAGTGTTAAGGAAACACATGGCAGTCTTTAAAAGCTCAAAAGAGGACCGCCTTTCCCAATTCTAAAAGAGAAGGCAATTAGACTTTTTTGAACTCTTAGTTTATTATTTTTCTTTAATATTTATTTTTTTGGTGTAGATGGACACAACACAATGCCTTTATTTTTTTATGTGGTGCTGAGGATCGAACCTGGGTCCCATCTGTGCTAGGCGAGCATTCTACCACTGAGCCACAATCCCAGCCCCAGGTTTGTTTGTTTGTTTGTTTTTAGAAAGAGAGAGAGAGAGAGAGAGAGAGAGAGAGAGAGAGAGAGAATTTTAAATATTTATTTTCCATTTCTCAGCGGACACAACATCGTTGTTTGTATGTGGTGCTGAGGATCGAACCCGGGCTGCATACATGCCAGGCGAGCGCTCTACCGCTTGAGCCACATCCCCAGCCCCCCAGGTTTGTTTTTAAATGGCTTACTAAACTAGTAAAAATTATTTTGGATCCCTTTAAATGATATAGAAATCCATCATGTTCTTTCTTACGGCTATTTTCCATTTTTCCAAAATTGATTCATACTAGCTTATAACCATTCTTTTGCTCCCTTTATAAAGTAAGACTCTTTGAGGTGTAAACTGTATCTTTTTCATTATTTATAACTCACCATAGGGCCCATAACATTATTTTATTTTCACTTCCAAAAGTTCCCTGTCACATGTATAAATTATGACTAAGGTTTTTGGTAAAACAGTAAGATAAGCAATCTAGTAACTATTATTCTAACTTAAGAAATCTGAGACCTTACCCAATTCAATGTAGACAGATTTATTTTGAGGTTGTATCTGCTGCTTTGTCCTCAGAGATTTCATGATTCCAAGGTTAGAGAGTTGGACACTAAGACTGGTTTCCTGCTAAGCAGTACAGTAAAGAATAGTCAACAAATCGATGGCCAGTTCAGTGCTTTTTTTCCTAAAGAGAAACTTGAGACCATGGGCAAAACAAATCCACCACAATCAGATAAATAAAATTTATGATACCTGGGGAAAAACCTGACAAACTATTCACTAAAATGTCATGGTTATTTGTGAGTTGAGTATTTTTCCTCTCTATTGTTTAAAAATTTTCCAAACTGATTATGTGCCATTATATACATTTCTAATTATTTATTTATTCATTCATTCATTTATTTATTAGTTGTAGATGGACACATACCTTTATTTATTTTTATTTGATGCTGAGGATTGAACCCAGTGCCCCATACATGCAAGGCATGTGCTCTACCACTGAGTCACAACCCCAGTCCCATTATGTATATTCTTAAAAGTATTAAAATTTGCTGGGTACAGTGGCACATACCTGTAATCCCAGTGGCTCAATATATATGTATGTATATATATATATATATTTTTTTAAGCTAATAATTGATATATACTTATGACCACATCTGATGAAGGGTTAGCAACTAAGATAAATTTTAAAAAGAGAGAAATGATGATAATAAAACCCCAGTATACCTAAGAACAAATTTAGTAACAGAATATTTAAAAGTCCCAACAATACTTTTTTGAACTGGGGATTGAACCCAGGGGTGCTTCACACTGAGCTACATACCCAGTTCTTTTTATTTTTTATTTTGAGATGGGGTCTATACTAAGTTGCCTAGGCTGGCCTTGAACTTGTCATCTTTTTCCCCAAGTCAATGGGATTATAGGTGTCTGCCACTGAGCACCGTCCAACATTACTTTTGTTCGGGGAGGGCAGGTTACTGGGGATAGAACCTGAGGCACATAACTATTGAGCCACATCCCCAGAACTTCTAAAAACTTTTTTATTTCAAGACAGAGTTTTACTAAGTTGCTCAGGACCTTGCTAAATTGCTGAGGAACTTGTAATCCTCCTGCCTCAGCCTCCCAAATTGCTCAGATTACATGTATGCGCCATGGCAACCTGGCCCAACATCGCTTTGAATAAAGATTTTTCTGCTTCCTATTTTGCCCTTCTACAGAAAAACGAATGTTAATACCATAAGACCTGTTATTTTTAAGATATCCATTATGCATTCACATATTAGTTAACATCAGAGCAAATAACTGCATTTCCTTTGATTACACATTTTAATTGAAGTTTGTTTTGGTTTTTTGAAACTGGCAATTGAATCCAGGGGCATTCTACTACTGAGCTATTTTCCCAGCCCCCTTTTTTGGTGACATGGGGATTGAACCCAGGACCTCACACATGCTAGGCAAGCACTCTGCTACTGAGCTACATTCCTAGCAACTCCAACCCATTTAAAAAATTTCTGAGATAGAGTCTTGCTTGGTTGTCCAGCTGGACCTCAAACTTGAGATCCTTTGCCTTAGCATCTCAAATAGCTAGGAACAGCCATGCCTGGGTTAAAGCACTTTTCAAATGCTTAAAAAGATCAGGGACTTTGTGGCTATTGTTTTTTAATATTTATTATTTTTTTAGTTGTAGTTGGACACAATACCTTTACTTTAAGGAGGTGCTGAGGATCAAACCCAGGATCTTATACATGCTAGGCAAGTGCTCTACCACTGAGCCACAAACACAGCCCCTTGAAGCTATTTTTGACATACATCAGAGCTGATAAAGCTCCAAAGTAGGGTCAGTTCTTAAAATGTCTCTCTCGACATACCAGTCACCCTGACCTTTCCAAATTCCTTGAACTCTTATTGATTAGAACACTTGTCCAACCACTTAATTTACCACGTTCCTTTCCTTTTTTTTTTTTTTCCCCCCCAGTACTAGGGACTGAACTCAGGAGCACTCTCCCACTGAGCTATATCTCCAAGTCCTTTTTATTTTGAGACAAGGTCTCACTGAATTGCCAAGACTGGCTTCCAATTTGTGATCTTCCTGCCTCGGCCTCTCGAGTAGCTATAATTACAGGTTATGTGTCACCATGCCCAGCCCATATTTTCTTTACTGATACTTCAAATAATGCCACGAACATTTATTTAATGAAGAAATGTTAACAGAATAAACGAAAATGGCTTTACCAAGGTAGGATTTTCAGGTTCACTTTCTCGAAGTCTTTTGGCACGGTTTCGGTAGCCCATACTTTGGATGATAGAAATCTCTTCCTTTAAATGTTCAGGAGAGTTATTTTCCTTTTTTGGAAAGTTATAACTGTTGGCAACTATAAATTATAAGGGAACACATTATTTTCTTATCTTTGGAATGCTGGAAATCAAACCCAGGCTTCATGCTATTAAGAAAGCACTCTACCACTGAGCTATATATATCCCTAGCCTGGAACACATTATTTTTTCAGTTAGAAAAAAATACATTAATTTTCATTAAAGAAACCAAGAAATATCCTGTGTGTGCTTTGTTGTGTTAAGGTAATGCATTAAGTTTACCTTAATTTTCTAAAAAATCAACTTTGGAAATTCTACTTCTAAGAAACAAACACATACAGACGGTCAAAGTGATTTCTATTTCTTCTTGTCCACCTAAAACTAACAAATTTGCCTATTAATATTATATTTCACTGACTATGAGATAGCAATGATGTAAGCTAAACCATTATTTTATGGGTCACTAAAAAAAAATTAAACAATGACACACCATCGATACTAAAATATTCCCAATTTCAGAGATGTTAAGATGTGCATATCAGGATTAATAAAATAAGGTCTGAGATTAATAGGAGTGATTTAAAATATAGATTCAGAGCTAAAATACAGATACAGAGCTAAAATTAACCTAGACCAAGGAGGTCTTATCATCTGTTCACAGAAAATAATTATTCAGACTTCCTGAGAATTTAAGGACAGCACTGCCTCTGGGGCTATGCAATACTTACACTGCAATCCTGTGTCAAGCTCAAAAGCATGAATGATTTTCAATAGCTCTTCAACAAGTTGACTAAATCTTGTACTTTCTTGTAGGCTTCTGAAATTAAATTGTTTGAGAGGCACACTTAGCAAGTGATTATCAACTTTTTTTTTTTGGTACTTATAGATGGACAGAATGCTTTTATTTAATTTTATGTGGTGCTAAGGATCAAACCCAGTGCCTCACACAAGCCAGCCAAGTGCTCTGCCACTGAACACACCCCAGCCCTGATTATCAATTTTTTAAGGTCACTAAATAAGGAAAGAAATATAAACAAATAAATATAAGATTATAACTGTTTTCTACTACAGCTATTGTAGAAAACCGTATTTAAAAACTAGAGCTATTAGTGACATTGCACTATAATTAACATATCATTGACATCAGAATATATTGTGTGGCAGTGTTAATATTTTTTTGTTTTTCTTTTTGATACTGAGGACTGAAACAGGAGTACTTCATTACTGAGCCACATCCTCAGCCCC